TTATATTTTTGCTTTTCAATACGAACTTGTATCTTGAAGCAAAAATTTCTTACGTAATTCTAAGCATATTGAATTATCTCACACAAACAATTTTGTTTGCACGATAACTAAGATCTCTTGTAGTTTAATTTGTAATTTGTAATGCGAAAAAGAAAAAGTTATTTTGCATAAGTCGCGGTAAGACGAAGTTTTTACAACTGAATAATTTGTCATGTAGGAATTTTACACGTTTTTGTTGATTGTAGTAGATCTGAATATTTTATCATGTAAAGTATATTCTTAACTTATTTACTCTTCTTTTCATCAACATTGTTGATATATCTAGAAATCGTCTGCTAACAATTAAACACGATAATCAAGTTTCAGTTTTAACTGATTGATATTAAAATAAACATATTATCTTAATATGATTCATTTATTATTTTTTGCCTTTTATTATTTTACACACAAATTATTGCATTATTCATGTTATTACTAAGTATTGCTTTATTCATGTTACATTATAATATAAAATATTTCTCACTGCAGAATTTATTTATTAATATTTTTCTTTCTACGCCTTATATAGCGCTTAGCTTTTATAGAAAGGAAGCGTGTTTTAGTTTACTTTGTCCCTCATACAAACTAAAGAATTAATGAAAGAGAATACACGTAGATGATATCGATCACACGCAGATGATGGCGATCTGATGAATGGATTCTCAAAAATGAATATTACGCGATCGCAAAGATCAAAGCGAGATATCTTCGCCGAAGCTATAAGCAATTCCGTTCTCGATCTCAGCGAGGATGCAAATTATTATAATTGATTCCAAAGGAGAAACGATGGGAAAAAAGTAGGAGAGATATGGAAATTGGTGTGTGATCAGACGCCTATAAAATTTTATTGAACGACATAATGCACCTTCAGTAGTGCAGTTACAATATAGGGGGCGATCCGTCGCTCAACTTTAACCGGATATGATGAAAGAGTCCGTCGCCGATCAAGGTACTTATTACTACGATCAATGCGTTAGCGGAGAGGCACAGATATCGTGGAGATTTCGATGAGCCGAGTGTTCTTCGCTTTTCACCTTCCGGCGGTCGCGTACGCGTACAGATCTCACGGATGTCGGTTTTAACCGAGATATCATTTACCGTTAGAGATGTACACCCTTTATATCCTCTTTTTCCAATCGTTCAATTAACCAGCATTCATCAAAAGTTATCATCGTCAAATAATTTGCACCCTTCGATACATTTTTGGAGATATGTAGTAACTATTTCCATCTCTTCAAAAAAACGGAAGAGACCTTCGGAAGTACTTCCTGGCTGAATTCTCTATCATTGAGATGCTCGAAATATGTCTCGTTCCTCGTCTTTACAATGTAAAAATCTATCTTATCCAATAGGAACGAGAGTCGTCGCTCCATGCCCCCGATGCAATCAGTCATTCCTATCCGAAATCTCGCCAGTTTCGCTCGCAACGGAGATATATGCGGAATGCAAAAAGATCGAGAGAACACACGTTTAGAATACACGACGATGGTGCATCTTCGCGCATTTGAGATTTGAATCCTTTTGAGAGCCCATTTGGATTTCAAATGTTGTGGACCACAGGCTCCGGTCACGCGACTACTATCTCGCATTCAACGGACCCGATCTTCTCCTGGTCACCCTCTCCACCCCCTCTCACCGTCATATTACGCTATCGTGCATCGACAACGTGGGCCCTGTCGATCGGTCGGTGCGCTCCCGCGTCTTGTGCCCTCGATTTCGGGATAGGCATAAAAAGATTCGATCACTCGATCCGTACGGTCAAGATCCGAGCACAAATTGCACGTATCGATGCGACGTGTGCAACCGACGGCGAATTTGAAAGTTTTATATAGCATGAGAGAAGAAGAAAGAGAGAGAGAAAGAGAGATAACAGCGACGCATACCGAGCGATATCTTTTGCCGTTCGGTCGTGCGCGTGACTTAAAAAGAAACAAAAAGAAATTTTATAGTCCGATGAGAGACTGTTACGTATTACGCAATTGCTGTTATAGAATTTTAAGATTATTAATATTTTTGAGGCTTCTTCAAAAAAGATCTTTAACAAATAAATGAATGGACACAATCCTGGTATCATATTCTCAGTATAACATTAGATTTTTTATTGCCATTGTTTATGTCGCAATCTTATACGTACTCTCTAAAACTTTTAGAATAAATTTCACTCTGTAGAATGAAATCTCACTCTTGAAAATTGAAAATTGAACCACTCTTTTTTAAGATTGGCTCAATTTTCACTCTTTAAAGTGAAATTCCACTTCAAAGAATTTAAAGAGTAAAAATAAAAATAGATTTTTTAATTTTACTTTTTAAATCATCTGACACTGCTGTATCAGGTGATTTCAAAGATATGTGTAATAGGACTTACTCATATCTGACGCGGATCCTGTTTTTCTTAATTAACAACTCTTATTCAGCAATTTTCTTTTTGGAAATTTTGGAATACTTTATTTAGTTATGATTACCTAAACAGAGAACCGGTTTTCTAATTAAGGAGGTCTTCGCGCTACTTCCTAGTCAATTCCTAGTCAGACAGTTTATTCACAATAATATGTAAAACAATTAAAATAATGGAATAAAAAGGTTACTAACAATATCTTATGCCATTATACATAATTATTGTTAATTTTATGTTACTAAATATTTTCAAAATGACAAAATAAAAGTTGTAAGGTACTCATTTGATGTATACGCATCATCCAATTAATATATATTCTAGCTTTTTCATTGAAGAATATAAATTTCTCGTAAATTGTACGGTTAGTTTAAATGAAATTTTACGAGAACAAACTTAAGTGTTCACTTTATTATAATTATAACGATTTTAAAATTTCTGTCTTATACGCAAGTGTCTCAATTTAAAAGAGAATAATTACAAAATAAGGGTATATCTTCAATTTGTAATGTAAAATTCTATAAATTTAGAATTAAATATCTTCAAATTGATACGGTAAAAGTCAATGAAATTTTTTCTAGATATTATTGATATCATTAACTTTTGCATTACATGTATATTATAGACTTGTCTTATATTTCATCAAACGCGAGAACCTCCTTAACCAGAAATTTGTGTTAAATTTGAGGATCACAGTTCTTGTAATGAACGTTATTTTCGATCGCAATATTATATTGTAATCTTGCTTATTTGTTGTTTGAATAAAGATTGGTCAAGAAAGTGTTTTATCTTCTCAATATTTTAATATATTAAAATGTACGTAATAGAGCGCGATCGTTTTCCGTTGAACGGTACGAACAATGCATAAAACATTTCTATGCTGCCAACGACCAACAGGGAATACACTTTCGCAATTTTTTTTTCACTTTCGGTGTTCCTTGTTCCGTCACAAGGATAACGTTGGAGAAAGAATGATTATAGTAATTGTAATATAATAATGGCAGTTGAATAATATGTATAATAGATAATATAGTGCCATTAATAGCACCTCTTAATAAATGTTAATCAATTATTTTTTTTTTAATTTGGGGATTCTATCTATTCATTCTCCTTAAGAAACAATAGAGGGAGTTATCAGGATATCTCGAAGTATTTTTTTTTAAGGGTACCGCGACCTTTTCCAGCCTTGTGCTAATCGGGTAGTGTTAAACGGGCGTTACATGATCGCGATATTCCTCGTCGTACCGATTTAACCCGTTGACACCGTCGTCACCGCCGTCGCCACACATCGACGCAGAAGTGATCGACGGTAGCCGGCTGACTGGTGCCTGAACCCTTTCGACTGTTGTAAAAGCCGGTGCTTTGACGAACCCGCCGCGCCGGCCGGCGATTTGCAAGAGGAGAACGAAGCTAAACGTCGTCGCTTTCTACGCAAGGGAATCGCGGAGGCGAGCGACCAGGGGGAGAGGAAGAGTTCGTACATGAGGAACGGTGGGGTATGGCGGGTCGCGCCGGGTGCGACGGTCGGGAGTGCGGGTTCGTCAGAGGGCGGCAGAGGGGAGCGGCATGGCACTCGCGGTGACGGCAGCGACGACGACGGCGACGGCGGTGGCAGAAAGGGTTGGGAGCGGGGGATAGCGAGGGAGGAGGAACGCGCAGGGGGGCATTCGTTGGCGGCGGGGGTAGGTATACGTTCGGCCCCTACGACGCGAGTGCGTAAGATACTACGGGAGAGAATACTGAGACGGAGAAAGACGTCGCGGCGTTGGTGCGAAGGAGGGAGACAGCGTGATAGCGGAGAGGATAGAGGGAGAGAAAGAGAAAGAGAAAGAGGGAGAGGGAAGAAGAAAGAAGAAGAAGAGTGGAGGAGGCTACCTCGGACATATATGCGGTGAGAATTCGCGCCTCCTGTCTCAGTGCTTGACAGGCCGGCAAGCTCTTAAGATCCATCGGGGTTCTATCAGTCCGTCATCTGAGCCATCGCTGCCCACGCACTATCACGCATCATCATTCTTCACAATTGTTCTCCACCTAATTTTGCTGATCGGCATCCTCAAACGAGGATGAAGCTGATTGGCACGAAAAATTGATACCCGCAGTAGTAGCAACTCAGGTGGTGTCAGTCAAGTCAGAATACCGGAAGTGGACAGGAAGGAAGGACGAGGAATCACGCGACAAAGTAGGATCAGTTGATGAAGGTCGAGGTAACCAGTTCGGATTTGGCGCCATGACATCCGAAGCGTGTTTGATAGAAAACAGGATCTGTCACTGAACCCTACAGATCGTACAGCACGTTTCGAAACGACAGTCAAACTGGCGCTAAAACGTGAAGGTCACGAGGATGCAGCCGGCCGCATGATTGTTCAGGACACCTTGCACAAAGTCCCGCCGAGACCCTCAAGTGCCTTGTGATTCTCTCTCACTGTGATTGGTGTGCGTGAGAACGGTTTTGGTGAACCCCATAAAGTGGAGCGGATCGCTCGGAAAATATACCGGCGATTCTCTCTCTCTCTCTCTCTCTCTCTCTCTCTCTCTCTCTCTCTCTCTCTCTCCCCCCTTCCCTCTCTTTTTTCTTTCTCTCCCTCTTTCTCGATCTAATCGCATCTTCTGCGTAATCGAGAAGACTGGAGCTTTCCACGGAGTTAATAAATTTGTGACGTAGGACGGAAGAAAGCGAAACTGGATCGTGCAGATCGCGATCGTGATCGAGGCCGGTCGCCTAGTTCCGGCGGAGTATCGACTTCAGGACACGATAAGGGGACCAGGCGGCTACTGGAAGTGGAGAACGTATGGTTGCGTAAGTTCAGGAAGAAGCTGGCACTGCGAGATAAACGACGAAGAAAGAGACTTTCTTCGCGAATGAGACCGGGGCTACACGAAAAGAAGTAGAAGTGAAGAACAATAGAAGAATCGTGAAGAGGAAGAAAAGACTTTCCGTAATCGTAAGGGAGGCCATCTAACGAAAGGGGAAAAGTAATAGGAACAGAAAAGGAGAACATAGTGCAGGGATTATCAGAGATAAACAAAAAACGATTTTATTAAGGGAAATTAAGAGAAATTTTAAGGACTTGTCTTGAGGAAAGACAAGCACTTAGTGGGAACGACGATGCCATTGATCATCTGATCGTTCCTTTCGCGACGAAAGCCGATCGTAGAGCTTGATTCGACCAAGGGCGACCTTGAACAAGATGGTCACGAGGGCGCTGCTATTACTCTCGCTGGTCCTCCTCGATGCCTTTGACGCGCCTGGCATCGAGAGAGCCCACGTCCGACACTTGGCGATGGCCGGTAACGCCTGCAACGCCTGTAGGATGCATGAGGAGATCCGCGCGCTTAGTTTGGAAGCGATCAAGGAGCAGATCCTGAATAAGCTCGGATTGAAACAGGCGCCGAATATGACGGGTCGAGCTCTGCCGAGGATCCCACCGATCTCGAAACTGATGGACATGTACGGGATGCAGGCCGACCAGCCTTTAGAGCCCGGTATCACACACCACGAGGAGGTCGACGAATACGCCGCGAAGACGGAGAGTGTCTTTGCCTTAGCGCAGCCTCGTAAGTTTCTCCTTCCGTTTCCTTTCTTCTGTATGCAGAGTGTCCCATTAGGTGAGAAAGAGCAACTGATAAGATGGTTAGAACATAATATCATTTTATTTTATCTTGTAACATTTTCTCATGCTTGTTGTCATTTCCGAGATACAGCTCGTTTTTCAGTCTTTCAATTCCATGGAACACTCTGTATTGTTAAATTTAATAATTTTATAGAAATTTTATGTGTATTTTTATAGTTTATAAAAAAATTATTTAGAAATTTTTTTTTTAATTCTTATATTTATCTCTATGAGAAAAATGTTGATATGGATTATCCATAGTACATCTTTCTATCAAGTTTAATAAAAGTTTGAAAACCTGAATTTTTTAAAACAATTTAGGTTTCATTAAAAATTTTGTATATTTTTATCGCAGTCTATTAATCTTAAAGAATAAAAGAATACTAATTCAATTATATACAGTTTGCAATTTTATCATACATACTGTTGGAAATACTTTCTTTACATGTAAATGAAGCTCGTGGTTATGAACGAAATTAAAACTAATGAATCATTTAACTGAAAACTAAGTTACAGTAGTTATTTAAATATAATGAACGTATATACATTAAATTTCATGAAATTTTATGAAAAGTACATTAAATTTCATAAAATACATTAAATTTCATGTATATAAATATACACAAATATACTTTTAAGTTATAAATACATTTAATGTTATGTCAAATTTAATATTATGTCATGAAATTGAATTCAAATTGTGCAACTTAAAAGTATATTAAATTTCATGAAATTTTTAACAGTGTAACTCCAAAAAAACTTTTAAATGTCAGAGCACTTAAGTTCTGTGAAATCCGTGAGAAGTATTATTCAGCACGATATTTAATTAATGTATGCTCTCGCAATGCAGTGCACATGGTATTGAAAATTTTTCGCAACAAAGTATCAAACGCAACATATGTGCTGTGTCGCGATTCTTTTTTTTTTGCGAGATGTTTAGTCTGTTGCATGATTGCAAAAACTCGTCGTGCATTTATCTTAGCAAAAGGTAGCGTTATCCCAAAGATCATGCCAGCCAGGCGCCAGGTTCGCTCAGAATTAATTACCGCGAGTGGTAATATTTCATGCACGATCATGTTTTCCTTGGCAACGTCAAGTAAATTAACCTCAGCGACTCGGCGATCCGTCCGGCGTGACTCGCGTATGTACACGCTTTCGCATGCAACATTGTGCATATACTGAATTGCATCGTATCATCGCCGCTGATGAGCATCTTGTAACTTAATAGTGTCGAAGTAACAATTATATAACTGGCTCTCACATCCGACATCCGTTGCTGTTAACTCTACGATTTACCAGACGAGTACCGTATAACTCGCCTGCTGCACGCATATTCCTTTATTTATATCCTTTTAAATTTTAAAAATATTCATGTATATCGGAGAATCGTACAGAATGACGAAAGGGCGAAACAAAATAAAATTAGAAATTAGAAATTAGAAAGATTGTTCATAATATCTAGAAACAGTCTAGCATTCGTAGGTTTCAAACGGTAAGGACCTTTCTAAGGTCCTTCCCAACCTTTGCTGGGTAACATTACTCATTGTGGAAATTCAATCAGGGAAGTGATTCTGCCGTTGCTCACAAATAACAATAAATATTTCTGACAATTAATCTTACATTATATCTGCATAAGTTGCAAAAATATACACTTGCAGTCATCTATTGTCGGAATGGGAAGAATAAGTGATAATCCGATGACGCAAAGTGCAGATTTTATGATTTATTATTGATTGCTACCAAGGTGTACTAAAAATTAGAAATTTTACCACGACAATCAGATGAAAGTGGAGGTCAAGGATATCATGTTTTCGGGGACACCCTGTATGCGCTGCGTGCATAATATACACTTGTTAAGGAGCAGAAGGAGCTCCAAACGGTCCGCCGCCACACGAGTCCCTCGGGCGAAACTGTCTTCGAGCCACTTGCCGCTAAGCACGTAATAGTGGCGGTAGAACCGCAACCTGTTATTAAGGCCCCCGTGTTCGCGAAAAAAGAGAGAGAGAGAAACGAAAAAAGTAAAAAAAAGGAAGGGGAAGAAACAAAATAAGATCAACGACCTGCTTAGGAACTCAGATCGGCAAGGGAGACCGATCGTGGTCTCCCTAACGTGGTCTCGCTAACCGCAAGACTGGCGTGCTTTCTTTCTGGGCGAATCTGAATTTTTTATAAGCGTAATATGCCTCGAGCACGATGGTGAGTTCACCGGCGCAGCGTGGTGCGGCACCGGCATTGTGGTCGATTATCGCGTATCGCGCGATTACAGACACTTTGGCATTCCGATAAAGCGTTAACTTATTATTATCTATATCGCGTCAATTATAGCTTTATTTTCCACCGCTGCAATCGGAATACGTGAGTCGAGATCGAAGTTCTTGTAGTGAACTCGCCTTATATTGTAGATCGCCGTCGCATCGGGCGGATTACTAATTGCAAATGTCGTTTGCTCGTAATGATGATAAGGCCCTCTTTTTTTGTGCAAAAGACACACAAAGATAAACGCATAGAGAAATAAACATAAATTATAATTAGCTGTTAGTAAATTAAACTAGTGATGAAAGTTTTTTTTCCATCACATATCGTTATCGTTTCCTTTTTTTTATCACACAAATAATTATACTATAATTTTTACTATCGTATAAATATTCATAGTATTTTGCACTTAAAATTAAAGTGAAAAAAGAAGTGTTTATACAGACAGGTTGCAAAAAAATTATTTTAAATGTTTCATGATTGGAATAGAATACTTTATAAATCATTTATCAAAGAGTGAACTCTAAAAAAAAAGTGAAAAGAGAGAGAGAGAGAGGAGAAACTAGAAAAAGAAGGATGTTGCAAGATATTTTATTTAAATTGCCCATCAAAAAATATAATCGCTGTACTATTTATAGATAACATTCATTGTAACTAGCTTCTATGCTCTATTCTAAACGTTCCAAACCCTTTACTACATCTTCCATTGTACACGTTATAGTATGGCAGGCGACATCGTACGATTTGCTTCCTAAACTGATCTTGCGGTATTGCAGCAGTCAAAAATAAGTGTGCATGTATTTAGCATTGCCCAGATAACGAATGGCGAAGCGCCAACAAGAGTTCAAAAGTTACGCCCACTGTCCAGCAATATCGGTGAGATTAATAGCCGGAACGATTTAATGCAAAAAAAAAAAAAATATGCATATATAGTTATGATAGTATATTTTTAACGTACCGAGTGCATGCGTAAAATGCGCGACATGCATTGCAAACGTTCGGAAGCGCCTGCTCTTGATATCAGTTCGCTGTCACTGTTGTCACTTGGAATAGAATTTGGAATAGAAATAGTATCGAAAGTGCAAAAATAAAGAATGACTAACTGATATCGCATTTACGATAGGTTATCGGGAGCGACCTCTTGTCTCTCCGTCTGATCGTTCGTCTTGATCCCCCGCTGCAGGGAAGAATTTTTGAAAATCCGTTCGTGTGTGAATTTTTTTTGCGTGTATTTTCGTTCTTGCCTTTCTATATTCGTTTGCGTTACTTGGTGAAAATTTTCATCTGGTTTTGGGATATGATAATATTGATGTTTGTAAAATTTTTTTGATCTATTTTTATAGTTTCTTTTATTTTTATCTTTTTTCTTTTCTTTTATTTAAATTTATTTTATCTCTTCACTTTACTCGTATATTTCATCGCTTTTATTTTCGAAATAAATTAAGTTAATAATAAATTAAGTTAATTATTAAGTTTTGTTATACGAGCGTCAAATAATTATGTTTGATTGACATTAATTATGTGCACATAATAAATATGTGAAAGTAATTTGGAAAAAATTAAGAAGCATTTTATTCTAATTGGTTTTGCTCTGAATAGTATCTGCTGAATCGAAATAAAAGCGATAATACATAATTAGTATTTTTATTTACAAATCGCTTATAAGCGTGTATTATGTGTATATATTATTTTATTTAGAGTTTTAGAGTATTTCAATCTTTGATTCTTATTATATCTCTACCTGTTGTTTTCGCACATCAATACACTTGCATATCAGTTATTATTTATGCATTGTACCCGTGCACCTATAATTATTTTATTCAATTTTCTTTTCATTTAATCTTTTCCTTCTTTTATCTTTACTAAGCGCTCCTTATCCGTAATACAATTTTTTTCTAGTCGCTTTATTTTCTTATCGCTATGCAACGTGATTTTTTATGTTCCCAAAACGCATTATCTTCTTCCTTTATACTATTATTTTCTATTATTGCTCTTTTCAATTCTCCTTCATTTCTGTATTATTCTCGACTGCTCCGTATTTTTTTTCGTACACTTCTATATATTTTTTCTATCAAAACTTTTCTTTAAATTTTCGTTCTTTCTGCAGTTTGATATATATCTCCTGTAGCAAAAATGAACGGCGGTTTTTTAGCCGATGTCCTCGAGAGATTGGTCGATCTCTCGATTGCCTCTTGTTGCATGATCAACTTATAAGTAGACGGGCATACGCGGACATATGTACGTATATATGTATGTTATAAATGTAGCACATGAAGCATGATAAGTCATTGCTCACCAATAATCAACGCAAATCAGCGCTTTAAAGCAGTTTAAGGCAGTTTAAAATTAGTTTGCAATTGTTCGAAAAGTTTTTTTAAAATCTCTTTTAAGGGTAATTATCACTAATTGTAGAGACAATTATTTCTAATTTACAATATTATACTTTTATTTTGAAATTTTGATCACAGCCTAGTTTAAAGAAATTTTAATTCAAAGTCTTACAACGATTTACATCGATTATTATATAAAAAAACTATTAAATATTAAATAAATTAGTTTTAACTGAAAAAAGAACCTTAATTTAAAATTTCAAAAAAATTGTAACAGGAAAAATGTCCTGAGTTCTTGTATAATGTACAAATATTTAGAATCTTTTGCACAATTGGCAATTTTCGATATTAAAATGCCATA